CCAGGAGCTGACTTCCTATGACACCGCCCAGTGGTCCCCGAAGCGCTCAACAAGGGATAAGTTGGTAGACTGCTGTCATGGTTACCTCGAGGAAGGTGAAGCGACTGTCCTCGAAAAGCAGCATCAAGACGAGACGGTGACGGCATGTCATCTTCGCGATCAGGTTGCTAGCCTCCAGGATCAGGTCGATAGCCTTCAGGATCAGGTCGCTAGCCTTCAGGATCAGCTAGCTCGACGAACAGGCGAGATCGAAGAAGCCAGAAGCCTCGTTGTGAAACTGTATGAAGAGACGGCAAATGCCTACCCGCCTTTGAGCGACCTTAATCACAATGCCCGACTGTCTCTGCTGGTTCAGATGTTCTTTGCTTCGCAAAACAACAAGATAGCTGAACTGGAATCGCGAATTCAGGAAGGCCAGAGTCAAGAGGCTAAATTACAAGCGGGCATCAGTCGTCTTTGCGAACAGTTGGAGGAGGCTGTTGAGGCCGGGAAGGCTTTAAGCGAAGACCGAAGAGAACTCATCAGTCTTATCATAACCCTAACGAAGCAGGAGCAAGAGGAGGATGAGCTGGTGGAAATAGAGCACACGCTATGCAGTAAACCGCAAAGTCCTGTTGCGGCTCATGAGCAGTTCCCGGGCTGTGACAACAAACGTCTGGCTGGCTTGATGGAAGGAGTCAATAACATCAAGTGGCAAGCCGGTCTGTCGCAGAAGATAACGGCAGCCGTAGTCGCCAGGCTGACCAACTGGGCAAACGATTTGACTGCAAAGTCGGCGTTTGCTCAAGCAGCAACAGAAGAAAAGCTGAGCACAACTCAGTCCGACTTGGCCAAGTTGATGGAACAGCTAGCAGAAGTAAATGCTAACCTGGATGACAGTAAGCGGGAAGTAGAAGAGTTACAGAAGAAGCTCAATGCATCTGAAGCTGAGAAATTGAGACCATCTGCCGAGGACGCAAATGAACAGTTCCGTCTTCCTACTCCACCACCAGCAGTAAGTGAAGCAGATTGGAGAGCTGCCACTCCCGATGTTTCCCTAGTTGATGCCTGGAGTCAGGGCCGAACAGATGAGAAGACAGCACTTCGCCACACTGAAGACGCCAGTTCGGGAACAGAACCGGATGAAAACACCCCTCTATTGGAGAGCTTTACCGAAGCGCGGTCTGATGTCATGCTGCACACCGCGAACGCCGACGATTTTGGGCCGTACACGGCCGTGTCTGGTCAAACTGAGTCTGTCGCGACACGTAGCCCTGAGGAAGACCAGGTTGTGCATCCGGTTATTGAACCAGTTCTTACAGCAGAAGCGTCTGCGCCAAAGTTGGGTGTTGCTCCACCTTCCCAGGAGACCGAGGTCAGTTTAATGACTGCACCGGAGACAGCTGCGGAGCTGAAAAGTGCCATTTCGTCTTTGAAAGCTCAACTGGAGCAGGCAGACGTAGAGCACCAGGTAGGGGTGGAACTCCTGAGGGGCCAGCTGTCAGCCGCTCTTGATCGTCTCAGAGGCCTACAGGTCGTGCAGTCTGCGTATCAGACTGATCTCCAGCAACTGAAGACGGTGCTGGCCTTGAAGACCAAACAGGAGGAGGAGCTGAACCGCACCATTGCCTCCATGAATGAACGCGTGACAGAGCTGGTAGGTCAGGTAGATGGCCTGAGAGCAGAGTGCCTTGCGAAAGACTCCGAAAAGACGGATGTCCTGATTGAGTTGGAGGCTATGCGCGGTCAACTGACCGACGCAGCGGACGAAATGGCCGGTCT